AGTAGGCGGTTGCCCTACACTTCGCCTACCGGTACGCGGCTGCCACTCGAGAACCCTTCTTCCCCTACGGTTGTCGGTTCTTCGAGCTATATGGCCGGCCCATTGCCACTTCAGCTTACTAATCCATTTGGCTATGTCGGTCACTCTGGTTCTACTGCGGATATCCTCATTTCTAAGTTTATCACGCAGAGAAACTCCGAGCATAGCCCTCTCCATAGCTCGATGAGGTATACCTGACAAGAAGATGCGTCGTAATTTCCCGAACGCTGCCCAGCAGAGTTGAATCCGTCGATTGACCTCTCGGTCGAAGTTGGACTTACCTAGTCGGATTATTTGTCCCAGGTAAACGTACTCGTCAACAACTTCGAGCTTAGTGCTCCCAACAACTACCGGCATAGGTGTGACATGGACATTAAACATGATCTTTGTTTTGTCCATGTTCATCTTAAGACCTATCCGTTGGGAGGCACTATTGAGGTCATTGAGCATAGTGTTTAAGTCCTCCAGTAATACTGCCGTAAGGACTATATCGTCGGCAAATCGAAGGTGAGTGATGTACTCGCCATTGATGTTAATGCCGTATCCTTTCAGTAGCTTGAAAACGTCTGCCAATTTAGTGGTGCAGAGTTTCGGGGAAATTACGTCACCCTGTCTTACATCTCTCTGCAGTTGGATAGGTTTCGTACTCTGGTTCTGTACTCGGATAACCATCGTAGCCCTACTGTACAAACACTTCAGCAATTCAATATACCGACAGTCACCTTGGCACAGCTGAAGATACGGTAGCACCGCCCAAATTTCGACGGAATCAAAGGCTTTCTTATAGTTCACATACGCCAGGCAAAGTGGCTGATTGTATTCTTCAGACTTCTGTACAATTTGCCGTTACAATTTGGGTATTTATGTGGTCTATGGTACTAAAGCCTTTTCGGAAACCAGCTTCTTCGGGAGGCTGGAAGTCGTCGAGTCTGCGTGCGAGATGATTCGTAATGACTCTCGAAAACAGCACATAGACGCGGCTCAGAAGGGATATTTTGTTCTTCAAGAGGGCGTTGTCACCTTTCTTGAAGAACAAGACCACCGTACTTCTGCTCCACGCCTCCGGAGTAGTGCCACCATGGAGGACGGAATTAAAGAGCCTCTGAAGGACGTCAAGTACCTGTTTTCCATCCGCTTTCAGAAGCTCCGCTGTAATTCCATCCTCGCCTGGGGACTTGCGTTTTAAGGTGCTGGAGAGCCATTCTAATCTCGCTCAGACTATCGTCCGGGATATCATCGGAAAAGTGTCGGATAAGATTTGCTCTTGGATCGTTACTCACACTTACGTGTGGCTCCAACGATGATGTGTACAGCTGCCCATAGAACCTCTCAATCTCACTCAGAATCTCAGGTGTCCCGGAAACGATGCTGCCCGGAAATGAAGTTCTTGACGAGACCTGGGACAAATAGTCCGACTAGGTAAGTCCAACTTCAACCGAAAGGTCAATCGACGGATTCCACTCGGCTGGGTAGCGTTCGGGAAATTACAACACATCTTCTTGTCAGGTATACCACTCTGAAAACTGGATTTTACAACCAGTGCGTGTTGCCAGTGATGACTTACGGATCTGAGACGTGGTCCTTCAGTGCTAACCGTATGAGGACGCTCAGTCACTCAACGAGCCACGGAGGGGGCTATGCTCGGGGTTTCTCTGCGTGATAAACTTATAAATGAGGATATCCGCAGTAAAACCAGAGTTAACGACATATAACAACGAATTAGTAAGCTGAAGTGGCAATGTGCCGGCCATATATCTCGAAGAACCGATCACCGATGGGGAAAAAGTTTTTCGAGTGGCAGCCTCGTACCGGTAGGCGTAGTGTAGGGCGACCTCACACTAGATGGAGTGACGATCTGGTAAGACATGCAGGACAGATGGATGATGAATGCAGGTGGCTCAGGACCGTGCTTTGTGGCATTACTTGGGGGAGGCCTATGTTCAGCAGTGGACTTGTGAAGAGCTGTAATGATAATGATGATGATGAGATAAAAGATTAGTAAATACTGTTGCTTCTCAAAATTATATTTGGCCTCAAGGTAAAACATATCCTATAAATGATGTAGCTAAATAAAATAATAATAACTACTATTCAAGTATATTTTCAATTAAATTATTCATAGTAAATTCCTCGTCCAATATAATGTATTAATAATATAATATGCAACGAAATAATACGCTCAAGGTCGTTCGCTGGGGGGAAACGCCTTAAAATGGACTGTCTTTACGAATTTATTGAGGCACTTTAGATTTAATATAAATCGCTTTTCGCCAATTAGATTTTAGCACTACGAACACACTGGAAATTAATTCATCATTTTGGTGACTCAGAAATAGCACCCATAAGTAATAGTTTTTTAATGCAGGTATTAAAAGAATTTATCCCACAATCGATTTTGCAATTGTGCGTGGGATATCGTGACGCACAGGATTACAAATAATAGAAATTTTGTACCCAGTCAGCCATGATAGTACGGGGGAGTCTCCCGTGATAGTCTCCCATTGTTGAGAGAATTGAGACAAGCGATTAGCATATCGTACCTCAATGTTCAGCGACGATGTTGACTACGAGGCGCATTACTGGAGGGTTGTCGTTGCCGTGGTTGTCGGCCTGCCCATGTCGGATCGAATAGCATCTGCAGTCGGATCGAATATTGGAATTGGCAGATGGTGGATTCCTAATAAAATTTTATTCTTATTAAGCGGGAGTCTATGGCTTGGTTTTATAATATAGCTCGATTTCTTATTATTTTGGGCCGCTTTTAATTTGTCACTAGTATTTTATCCAAATGGTTATTTATCAGGTATAGTGTCTATAATTACGTTTCTAATCTAAATGTATATCGCATTAATAATAAAGAGTCTTTTTAAACGAGTTTCATTACAAAAAATATCACAAAAAAGTTTACATGCATCGCTTAAAGACTTTAATGTAATTTGGGGTGTACCTTGAGTTTTATTTGTCAATAGTATATCCATAGATGAACTAAGCGCAGACAAGGTTATTGCCATTTGTTTTTGTCGTTGTTGTAGGGAAAAATCACGTTTTATCAGGTAATGCAGCTTTTACTTCAGCATATAAGATGGGCGGCATACGTTTGTCACAATTGTTAGGTGTTACATAAACACTTAAAATTTTTAACTTCGTATCTTCTTTTAAGTCTTCTTAGTAAAATGTCTAGCAATCGAGATGCAAGGCCCTAATTGAATTGCACTCTACGGAGCATCTCCCAACAAACTTAAAATTGACTCATCTATCTCGACCTCCATAGCAGGCACAGACGATGGCCCTGGTTCGGAAATAATTTCAGTTACAATGGGTACTGCTGCCGTCATGCTCGGTGAAAGCAGGTGATCAGGCTAGCCCATAATGCCGTCATCAAAGGTGATGTCTTGCATGTCGTTATTTATTTCATTGCCGGTACGGTTTGTGGTCACACCTGTAATTACATTAATTTTGTATATACTCAATTTTTGTAATTTTTAGAAAGTAGTCATAAAAATATCTAATAATTTTTTGAAAAAACTATGCTCGTATTTTAAATTCATTTATTTTGGCGTGACAGAGAGAACTCTAATGGTTTCCCGCATCACAATTTCCATATTTATATTTTTATGAATTTATTTACGTATTTTATTGCATAAAATAATATTATTATATAAATATTTCTGCACTATCTTTCTTGACTAAATGACAGAGAGAACCCTAATAGTTCCTCGCTTCACATTATCATAGATTTTACGAATTCAATTAAGAATAAACGTAATAGACGCTTACTGCAATCTGCGTCACTCAAGCTAGACGGTAGACGTAAAACAAGCTTCTTATGTGATAGTTTCTTCTCAAGTTTTCTTATCTTCTTTACAATTTTATCATTTTAAAACTCTTCCTTGTTTCTTTTGTCGCCCAATAATAAACATTATAACAATCTTTGCTGAGCAGGAGTGATGCGAAAACGTACATGCGAAGGTTTGTGCACGGTAATATCGAATGAAGCTAGTATCGCGGGATATGCAGGAGCGAGTGGCGAGTGTCAGTGTTGCCATTAAATTATTTTTTCTTCCCTTTAAAAGTTGTTTGTTGGAAGTGGAGCTACAACAAGTTAACATAAATTGCTAGAATGAAGTTGTGAAGCATAATTGTTAATAATGGTTGGTGACATTTAAACTAATGCATTTGCGAAAATAACACGGACGTTGCAAATTATAGACATTATGTATTTTTAGAGTTCCGTAGACAAACAACAAGGACCCCCCACCCCCCCAATATAACTGCTGTTTTCAGAAATATGAAGAGTACGTAGAGTAATATTGATTATATAATAAAGTTAAAAATAAATTATCACAGCCAAGTAGGCTTAAAAAGTTAACCAGCTTATAAAATGCATTTGAATTAGTAAAAATTTCCTTACAACTCGATAGAAAATGACCTAAAGTAAGCTGCAATATAACTTTGTAATGTTAACTTTGTTAATCAAATAACTTTCTATGATATTATATAATCTATAAGAAAACGACTTATGCATTACTAATATAGCTTTACGATTTCCTTTGCGAGGTAGGCAGAGAGGATCAAACACCAAGAGTTTTGGTTAGTAGTTACGGTGGGCCTGCATTTTCATTCGTGATACTCTTTGCTTTCTGGGCCCATTTTAGTCGTTATAGCGGTCAAATGGCATACTTACTTAATATGCTAAAAGTATTAAGAATGCTCCTTCTAAGTTCACGTATTATGACAAGCAACTACGGAACCCTACTCCTACATTGTGCGTGGCCCGACACGCACTTGGCCGGTTTTTATTTACTATGTAGGATACAACATTGTACGTGGTGGATGATATAATAACCCTATAGAGATAAAAATACGTGTCGATTTTCGTATATAAAATGTGTGATTTTCTAATATAGTACAGACAAGTGCGAAGGAAGGAAGAAGTAGGTTGTAAAATTATAATTATAAAAATGTCGTCGTTACATTACGTGTATCTTTTCATTGGACTTATTGCTGCTAGCTTAAGCAGTGTTAGGGTAAGTGCAGTAACTAGTACAGTATAGGAATGATTTTTTACTTAATACTAACAAATTATAAATCTTTATGATGATGTTGCAATGTTACGTTAGCTGGTTACTTTTCATAATAGCGATAACCTTCCAATATTTTTAAAAGCCGATCTGTACAAGACTCGCCGACCGCTTTGTCGCCCGATGGTGGAAAGGAGAGGGACGAATCAAAAGCGTAAGCGTAAGAGTGCAATTCCTGATGCATACAGAATACCGAGAGGCTGGCTACTCTGCGCCTGTGCTCGAGGTTGACAAGGTTGGTTTCAACCAAATCAAGGTCACCAATGAGCCTTTTAGCACGTCCCTCCACTGTATCCAACGCTGCTAGGTGGCATTTTGCAGCACCTGAATATGTGACAGCAGTACTCCATGCACGACTGGACATGTGCTTTATATATATAAGAAGCTGTCCCGGCGTGAAGTACCGCTGCACCCTTGCAAGAACACTAAGTTTCCTTGCGGCTACTTTGACTCTGGAGACGACCCATAGTGTTGTGTTGTGTTTTATCACAATTGGTGAATCGTGAAAACGATGATGAACAGCAGGTGATTTCATATTCAGCACACACGACGTTAAGTAGCCTAAGTACGAATCTAAGTACGCCGCTACTGCTACTGGTAAAACGCAGTTAGGTGGCATTGTGCAGCACCAGTCCATATGTACTTACTTACTTACTTACTTATCTTCACGCACAATCCCTAACGGGGTAGCCAGAGAGAACAGATCGCCAAGTGTCACGATCCTTACATACCTCTTTCGCTTCTTTCATGTGCATTAACTTCTCCATACATGCACGTCTAGGTATCCGAGTACTCTTGACCTTCCCCTCTTCGAGTAATTTGCTCACATGGTCTTCGAAAGTTAGTCTCGGTCTACCTCGACACCTTTTAATATTTACTTTCGCGCCATATATTTTCTTCACCATTCGGTCTTCACTCATTCGCTCAATGTGCCCAAACCATCGGAGTACGCCCCTATCAATTTTTGTGATAAGGTCATCTTTAAATCCTGCCATATTACGAATCTCTTCGTTTCGCTCCCGGTCGGCTATGGTATCGCCGCATGTTTTACGAAGAAATCGCATCTCCACTGCATTCAAGTTGAATGCAGTGGAGATGCGATTTCTTCGTAAAATCGCTTTTATACTTCTTCTGGCATACCCAGGTTTCGCTGCCATATAACAAAGTCGGCACCAACACTGCGTTATGTATTGCAGGGCGTGCACTCTTCACTACGCCTTGCCTTTTGACTAACGCATTTAGGGCACCATTGACTTTGTTCCCGGCAGCGATACGCCTGTCCACATCTAAATCACATCTTCCATCCCGGCTGAAAGCACTCCCCAAGTATACAATTTCATTTACCTGTTCTAGACATTCCTGATTTACCCATATTTCACATTTTGTTCTCTCTTCGTCCTTTTCAAATACCAGAACCTTAGTTTTATTAGCATTCAAACGGAAACCTTTAATTTCACATTCCTCTTTCATACACGTGACTAATGCCTGCAGTTCTGCTTCTGATGGCGCAATAAGCAATGCATCATCAGCATACAGCAGACAATTAACTTTAATATCACCCAATTTCACACCCAAACAGCTATTTTTCAGCTTCTGTAAACAGCTGTCGAGATACAGTATGAACAGCCAGGAAGACATGACACAACCCTGTTTTACGCCCGCTTGGAAGTTAAACATGGGTGACAGGTTATGCCCTACCCGCACACAGGCTTTACAGTCATAGTAAAGTGACTGCACAGCCCTTAACAATCGACCATCCACAACCATATTCCGGCAACAGTTCCCACATTTTCTTCCTTATAACCTTATCAAATGCTTTCTCCAGATCCACAAAAACACAGAAAATCTTCTGGTTAACACTCAGAAGCTTCTCCGTGATCATGCGGAGAGAAAACATTTGATCCGTGCATCCTCTTCCAGGTCTAAATCCGCATTGTGCCTCCCATAAAAATCTTTCCGATTTCTCTTGCATCCTACGTGTCAAAACCTTCGAGTAAACTTTACTTGCTAAACTGGTCAAGCTGACTGCCCGATAGCACCCGCAGTCAAAATGTGAACCTTTACCTTTATATAAAGGCACAATGACCGCGGATCGCCAATCATCCGGGACACCTCCCGTCCGCCAGCACAAATTGCACAGCAGATGAAAGCTGTCCCAGACGCGAGGCCCACCGTACTTGACCATTTCAGCAGTAACTCTGTCTAGTCCCGCAGCCTTACCACATTTCAAACTTTGAATCGCACGTTCAATCTCTTTGATGCTGATGACCTCAGTGTCATCAAGGTCCGTGTCTGGCGTGCCAGTCACGGCGTCATCCCCGGATCTTTCACTAAGCTCATGACACGCATACATTTCTCTATAAAATTCACTCCATCGCTGCATGACGTTCGATTTTTCTGAGAGGACGTCATTGGTTCTCGAAAGCACTTTGTTCATTCTTAAGGCTGTCGCACCACTCCGGGACCTGTCCAACCTCTTTCCAGAAGCGTTTGGAGTTTTCCTTAAAGTTGTGCGACAACCTTTCGTCCGCTTCTATTCTACACCTTTCACGTACTCCCTCAATCAGTGTTTTCGCATGAACTTTCTGCAGCTTATATCTTTCTTTCATCTTCTCTCTCATACAAATCTACAGTCCATATGTGATATTTATTTAATTAGTTTATTTATTTATTACAAATTACTGCGTTAGAAGCTAGGCTGGCGTAAAGTACAGCTGCATCTTTGCAAGGAAACTAAGTGCCCTTGTGGCTGCTTAGACTTTCGACTAAATGAATGGCCCAAAGTTGAATTTGGAGAAAACTTAATTTCTTGAAGACAGCCCGGAGATACTCAGAAAATCCTTCGGAGTTCATTCAAAAAATGCTTCACCCAGTCAACCAGACCACATATGCCGTACACTGTAAGGTTGCTTAACCCCTGCTGGCCAAACCCTTGCGTAAAATGCCTTCGAATCATCAAGGGAAACCGCAAGTGCTTATGTGATTAACATACGCTAGAAAGTTTGCAGTTGCCCGATTTCGGTGAAACCTGGTGGTAGTTAAAAAGGTCATTCCGTTCTGCGTATGCCATGATGAGGTAGATGTACAATAAGTTCTCCATAATATAACATATTATAGAGGTAATTAAATAATGTAACATATTATGAAGGTAATTAAAATTTGCCGATAGTTGACAGGATGGACACTTTCAAGATTTCCAGTCCTAATTAAGAGGAGAAACTAACGTGTCGATATCGGAGACACCTCGGGCGTACAAACCTTTCAAACAATAGCTGGTATCATCTAATTAATCTGGTCCACTACCTTTGTTCACATCTATATCGCAGCGAGGTAATTGAGTGATCACTAGGTCAATGCAGTTGGCTGTGTGGCCATCCACATTAGATACCTTAGTCGCTTGTTTTACCAGCTATAAGAGACGCAGTGAGAAGACAAAATGCCATGCCGTCCATTCTTCTCTTCGTTTAACATTTTTTAGGAATATAATGTAATATATGATCAAACGAACTTCTCAAAGTGAAGTTCGATCAATATTATTACGAATCGCTTCATGCGAAGACATAATAGTAGCAACGTCGTTTCCTTATTTTGCAAGTCTTTAATGATTTTTACTTTACTACCATCATTCTTTTAGAGATATTATTCTAAGAAAAACTTTTTGTGGGAATTGTGGGTGGGTGGGAAATCATATCTTCCATTTTTTTAATACAAATGCAAATATAATTTTTTTCATGAATGTATTATTGTAAGATTCTTTTTCTGATATTGTACGAGGGACTTTTGCCGTATAAATCAAATATAATTATTTTTGACAACTCGTACTTATAACAAGTGACATTTCCTGTTTCTTTCATCAATATTTATTCCCTCTTCTAAAATGCTGATACTGACTATTTTTTCAAGTCTATGTTAAAATAAAAAACGCAATGTCTCTTTTGATTTTATTTCATTGGCAGGACGAAGTTTAGATGCTGTTTAGTGAAATTTGCACTGAATGCAACGAAGGTCATTTCTTTTTTTTTGTTCAAGTTCGCGATGCGATACGGCTTACCATGTAGGGACAAAGTGTCCAAGTGTGTGTGTTGGGACAACGTTAGCAATTCTCTAAATCAGATTAAAAAAATGTTTCGTTCCCAACTAAGTAAAAACTAAAAGAGATGTTAATAAGTGCCGAGTGCTCGGGCCATTCGGGATCAAATCCAGTCCGAAAGAGAGGCTATGATTGAGCGTGTGAATCTCACACTACAGGCAGTCTCCGAATGGGACGATGCCTATCTTGTCCAATTCAACGCCTCCTAAACACAAGCGTGTCTTTTCACCGCTAAAAGGAGCCCGCTCACCCTGGCTCCTACTTTCCGGAATGTATCCTTGGAGTACACTGACCGCTAATAATATATATAAATAAATACTAATGGGTGGTTCATTGAGTCCAGAGCCAAAGCAGCCCCAAGGAAACTTGGTGTTTTTGCAAGGGTGCAGCGGTACTTCATGTCGGGACAGCTCCTTACCTTATATAAAGCGCAAGTCCGGTCGTTCATGGAGTACTGCTGTCACATATGGGCTGGTGCTACAAAATGCTACCTGGCAGCGTTGGAGTCAGTGCAGAGACGTGCTAAGAGGCTCATTGGTGACCTTGATTTGGTTGAAACCAACCGTGTCAGCCTCGAGCACAGGTGCAGAGTAGCCAGCCTCTCGGTATTTTATAGGATACATTTCGAAGAGTGTGCGCAGGAATAGCACGCTTTAATTCGCCCCTTTACTTTCCACCATCGGACAACCAGGCGGTTGGCGGGTCTTCACCCCTTTGTTGTCGGTATTCCACGCATTAGAACCAAACGATTTACTTCGTCATTTTTAATGCGTATATCTTTCCGTCCGAATACAATTTGGGCGCCTTCAAAACATGAGTGAATAGGCTTTTGTTACGCTAAGACAGTGCGATTTACCGTCTAAGGCTGCATCACCACTTACCACCAGGTTGGATTGTAATCATGCACTGTCTTATAAAAAGTAAAAAAAATCTTTCATTGTGTGGTCACACTAACTGGTGTCTTTTCATAGAATTAATATAATATGGTTTCTCTTCTTATCTAATATATAAATCTAAGTTAAATAGGTTTTATCAACATACATTCAAAGTTTTCCATTATTTAGTAGATAACTTTTACTAAAAGGTAACAACACTTGCACCATATTACTTTCATCACAAAGTACGATACACGAGTACTCGTATGTCTGGATACGTGTAGAATGAGAGACCATCTTTAAAAGTAGAGTGTCTTAATACTGCACCAATATTTAACCTTATTTCTTTCTTTTTTTATAAAATCTTTTAAGACTTCTACTAAAGCCGTAACTGGAAGAAAGAGATAAATAATTTAACTAAGACATTTTCAAATTCAAAATTAATTTATAAAAAACATTGTGTCAACTGAGGGACCACAGTTAAGATATTTGTTTGTTTTATCTTTAACATTTTGTGTATTCTATTTAGTAAAAGAAGCTTTTAAAATTCTTTACTTAATATCTGTAATCACATTAATTTTATTTTTAAAACACTTTTAGAGTTCTTGGCTTATCAGCCAGAATCTATCAGATAGATATATATCAATATCTATCGATATTGTCAACTGAGGGACCACACTTTAAGGGCTGTTGTGACTTTTTATATATTCTTTCACAAATTCCAGGCTCGTTCTGCAATTTTTTAGGCGTACTACTAAACCCTTAGCTATTCATCTTGGTCCTTCAGTGGTCATACATATTGACAACCATGGTTTACTGTATTAAAGCTGAAATATAATGTGACGTACATATGATAGAATAACCGCACCACATACTTATACTTACTTATAAATGTTATAATTTCAATTTTGTATTCTCCATATTTTAAGTGAATTAATATAATATATTCCGGCAACGCACCTGCAATTCCCCTGGTGTTGCGTTGATCATGGGCGGCGGTAGTCACTTAACATCAGGTGAACCGCATGCTCGTTTGCCCCCTCTTCTATAAAAAAAAATAATATTACACGCAGTAAATAAATACAATCTACTACATTTACATAGCTCTTGGAACACTATAAGATATAATTAAATTATTTAAAAGCTGAACTCATATTATAAGTTAGTCATTACTCAATTTAGGTCCATGTAACATTACGTTTTAATATATATATATATATATATATATATATATATATATATATATATATATATATATATATAAATGTGTGTGTGTGTGTGTGTCTGTGTGTGTATACGTATATTTTAAGTATTAATTTAGTTGTATATTGTATGTAAATACACACATTATGATCTGAGAGGGTTTTTAATTCAGGATGGGTAGAACTCCCAATATGTGTTGGCGACTTTACGAAATAGTTTTAATACCAAAGACATGCATATTTTACAGTATAAGAGATTGTCGCTGTGCAATAAGTACGTAACGTTTTTTAAAGAATATAGCCTTGGTAAATGTTGGTAGATTTAGTAGATGTGGTGATGGGATTGTTTCGTAAAGTTATTTGCTCTTATGTCATTATCGTTACCAGTTCCTGTATAGCCTATTAAATTCCACTGCAGATAGGCCTCCGCCATACATTTCCCTATAGGCGGGTTTTTTGCCATAGTTACCACGCTTGGCAAGCGGTTTGGCGGCAATAATTTTTTTTAATTTATAGTCTTTATTACGACACCCACGGGATGATATGGGGTAGTGGATATTAGTACATCACCACTGCACGTTGTAATTCTAATCTAATGTCGCTATCGAGATAATGAGCAATAGAGAATATCCTCTAAGTGATTATTTACCACATTCTCGGTGGTGAATTTAAACAAAGCTAAAGTATTAACACTGTTGTTTAGGCTTTACCAGAAGAAGAGATCGAGGCAATAGAAAGTGCGATGTATCATTTTGTGATAGATTGCGGTAAAGAATTTGGCGTGGATGAGGAAGAATTTAAAAAGGCAAAGGAATCCGGCAATACTGACTCGCTTGACCCCTGCTTACTTGCTTGCTTTGCGAAGAAAATTGGATTTGTAAGTTTCTTGTACAGAATAGTCTCTTGCAAATAACGCAAGCATGGAAAAACACACAACATTTTATGAATATTTTGGTATAAAAAGTATATGCAACATTTTATTTATTTAGTAAGATCTGAATAATTTACAGGCAAATAAAGTACACAGTTAAATATAGGCTTCTCTCATATATTGAACCATAGATATTTGCCATGGTCTCCACGCTTGGCTGGCGGCTTGGTAACCTAGTTTTTTTTATTATTATATAATATTAAGTCCATCTCCTATTTCAGTTTCACTGTTGCCCCTTACGAAGCAACGAAAACATTGTCATTTTGATGTTAAAACTATTTTAAGGTACCTACATTATATTGCAGCCTTTTATTTTACAAATATTAAGAGTAAAATAATTACACAGCAATTTCTTATTACATTTGATGATGAAGTTAATAAAAATCGATCAAGTGTCTTCTCCAAGTTCCCGGTTTTAAAACTCACCTGAATATGAGGATTAATAGGATATATGTAGAACATGCAAATTATAAGTTTTTATTTCACTGTCGGATGCTTTATTATAGCAAACTCAATCACTTTTTTATAGGATAGGGTGACAAACGAGCACACAGTCCACCTGATGGTAAGTGGTTGCTGTGGCTCATAGACACATCTATCCTCGATTACGAATCAAAATGCAGATGCGTTGTTACCCGTGAGGAGTAAGATGGAACGCCTCGTTTCCAGTAAAAAGGGTCTCCGGTACACTCACCATACGAAACACAGCAGCATTAAGATACTATTTTACATTGGTATTCTATGACAGCGTGGTCCTTCCCCAGTCGAGCCGACCCATTCGTGCTACAACTATACTACTAATATAACTGCAACATGGCTCTACCACGTATTTGCCTTTTATCTTCATCAACGCGTTACAGTTAATTGCTATATGTTGATGTGAAAATGATTTGTTCCTAATGACATCTATTAGGCCTTTCTAGCATCACCCGTAGTCACCTCGTACGACATCCTCGGGACGGAGATCAATAATATTCTCCTATATCAGTATCATAAGGCTTTTAGTATTAGGACACTCATTTTGCATGTTTTAGATCAACGACGAAGGAATGTTCGACACAGAAAAGGCTACGGAAAGGACCAAGCAGTTTATCGTAAATGAAAAAGCGCAAAAGAAAGTTATGGAAGTAGTTGAGAAATGCAGTTCAGGTATGTTCATTTTAACGTTATGTCTAATGAAATTAATAACTTTACTTTTTGTGATAAATTAAATTTTGCTTCAAAATAAGTAGTTTTCTTGTTTTGTTTTAAAGAAAACTAACAATTAAGTTCATGATAGTTAAATTTATTGTTTTTTTAAACAAAAATCCCATTTTAGTTTTGATATTAGTATTTTTTCCCAATCAGCTTGCAACGATTTAAAAGGTTTTCGTCAGTTAATCCGACATTACTTTTAAAAATTATATTATATTCCAGTAAATGAGCAGTCGGTTGGCGACGATAAGGGTTGTGAAAGAGCTGTACTACTGGCTGAATGCTTTAAACCTTTGAAAGATCAGGTAAACACTTAAATATATAGAGTATTCACCTTCATAAATCCACTTACTATAATTTTCTTTTTCTTTTTTTATTGGAAATATGAGTCAATAACAGGACTGTGTAACCTGAGCATTTTCACGAAAGAATCGTAGTGTCCGAGTGTATGCCCAAGTATAGGTGCTCTCTATTCCCTCAATCGCATAGTTTGAAGGGACAGCAATAGTACACGACCGAAGAGAGATCAAGTGCAGGACCAACGGCTTTACGAGCTTTCCGAGACACATTAGTGAAACACCGCATCTTCCTGACTTCGGGATGCTACTAAGAATCTCTTGAAAAAAAAACCCAATCACTTTTTTGCGACCCCGGGTTCGAAGTCCCAGGTTTCCAGGACCAAAGGATCAGCAGCCGACTTCATGACTACACGAATGAGGCAGTCTTCATCGTTATCGTTAGTAGTCCAATGTATACTAAACATCTCTCAAAACTGATTAATATCTGGTTATCGTAAAATTAAGAGGCGGATTGTCATAGACAAACACCTTTGACAATGTTCCCTTGTGATATGTGTCTATCATAGGTCATGTGATGTTCAAACGCAACAAGTATACGGTACTGGTCGACGGTCGGTCGGTCGACGAAATGACAGTATCATATATGCGATGCGACTGATTACAATCGCCATTATATCCATTAAATGTGGCGATTACAGCAAATGCTTCTTTTTATGAGAGACATCCTAGTTTAGCAGAGGCTGAAGAATGGTAAACGATAAATTGTGTTTGAGTATTGTTGCTTTTTGTTACAGCTTGCCGCCCTTTAATAACTACTGATGAATTACTGCACTACTGGAATACTATACAGAAGATATTGAGTTTATTGTTAATTACGTCAAATGTTTCAATTACTTAAAATGTAAAAATATATTTTTTGTGAAATAAAGACATTAATATTGTATTTTCGATTATTGAGTTTATAATTTTCATGATGAATTTCACATTTGTAATACAAATTATATTTATAGTTCGCAGCGGGTATGATTAATAATAATAACCTAAATTATTAGAAATATAAATTTTTTTTTTGGTGTTTTCTGTGCCATATTGGACAATCGACGTATTTTTAAATAACTGATGTAATATTCAATCTGTTTATAAGTGGCACTTGCCAAGTGTGCCAAATATTTCGCTCATCATAATCGTCTATAAGCAAATCTATGGGAAGGCAAACTTTTGATATATATATTTTTATTATATTGGCTATATATAATATATAAATCCTACTAATATCCATTGATCTATCCATTACACCTTATTAAAGTCTACTACCAAAATAGGCCTCTTCACAGATTGTCTCGTAGGCTGGATTTTGCACTCGCCAAGCATGGTAACTATTACCATGCTTGGCGAGTGGGGTGGCAACCACATTTTTTATTATTTTGATTTATTATAGTGGCGGTGTATTATTATTATTAATAATAAATTATAATTAACTTCTTTATTCAGTTATCTAAAAGTATCATAGATAGATTTAATATTTTGAACAATAAAAATGCATTAAGAGGAGTATTACAAAAAAAAAAACGCGAAATTACAAGGTTTCCTCGTTAAAATTATGTGTTTCCCGTTCGCTGCTTGAAATAACAATTACTTGGTAAAATAGTTAATAGTTTTCTCTACTACAATATACTCAAGGCAAATTTTAGATAACTTACTTATTTATTTAGTAATAATCATTCTCCCGAGGCATATTTAGGCCAAAACTTTGAGAGACATGATTTGGGAGATTTTGAGAGGGAGAATTTGTAGATTCTATTGAATATAGACCGTCGAAAAAATATTTTTATCCCAAAAATATCCTATACTTTAATAATGACAAAATAAATTTTCGTTATATGCCTTTCACGTAAGGAAAAAAATCGACATAATTCAATTAACGACCGAAAAAGCTTCGATACAAGCCCCAATATCTCCGAAGTTCTACATCATTTTGACGTAAAATTTACATCAAAATAATCATCAAAATTTAGTTAAGCTATACTACGGTTTTTACTTTTGAAATCTTTATTATTTTTTTTTAAATACATTAAATAAAACTACCATATACTTCCCCGCGCAGGCCTTCTGAAATCATTACCGCACGAGCGATCGTCAAGGTTAGAACTGTGTCACTTGATTTCACGCGCTCCGTTTAGTTTCGATATTATCGTAGTGGGCGTCGATTGCCGTGGCGCTACTTAGCTGCTATTTTGTGCGTAATAGAGCATCGTCAACTACGCCCGCAGTTTTTAATCGTTGGAAGTATTTACTTTCGTACAGTATATTTCAATTAGTTTATACTAATTATTAGTTCGCACATAGTTATTATTACATTACCAGTCAAGTCACTAAACGTAAAAAAAGAAATATCCTATCACTGGAGATAAAATAACAGAGAATAAAAATGTCTGCATGCTTGCCATATGGCCTGGCCCAGATTATGAGACGACAAATTTTGAATTTTGAATACGTTACCCTTGCTACAAGCGTTTTATAAAATGTGTGTACTGCCTAAAATTATTGACTGGAGATAAGCTCGGCCAATGCCGTTGCGGCAAATATTTTTATAATAAAAAATATGGTAATGGAGTGTGAGTACCCATTAAAAAAAACTATTAGTTACAGTTGGTTATTTTATTTATTAAAACAGGTTGCAACTGTACTATTTATTTATTTATACCACTGTGCTACCGTTAGTCGATATAATCGATTATTAAACAACATCGGTTAACAATCGATTTCTGTGAAACAATTAAAATATTTATGTGTACTTATTTCAACCCTAAGGTTCATAAATAATGAAAACTATATCAAATAGGTTTTAATAAATTAATTAGATAACATAAAAATGACACAACAAAAATTTTTTATCCCCTGAATTCCATCCTAAGAAAACTTGTATAATGGAAGATCAAGATCGTTTTGTCGCTATACTCACAATGCCATAGTGCGAACGAATGAATAGAGACATGAAATAAAGTATCGCTTGCGTAGGTCATCGCCCGCTCGCAGCGTAAAATACCTAAATTTGCAAAACGCCGAAATGTAAGAGGGCTCTTAATTAGCATAAGCTATATACATGGTTACAGGTTAAGTCGACCACCATGTAGAAATGAAACAATGTGTCATTTCTACATTGTGGAAAAAATCATTTGTTATATCCATCCATAAGATCCCGTGTAGTGGCGAGTAAGAACACCCACTATTCCCGGACACGGTGGCGACCAAAGTAACGGCGGGACAGGGGATGTTAAGAATTTTCGGTGGAGGTTCGTCTACCACCTAAGACGACGCTACCTGGCATATATATATATATATATATATATATATATATATATATATATATATATATATATATATATATAAACAGACATAATCCTTAATGCCAATAAGAGGTTCTTAATTCCAAAACAAATTTAATTTTAGATACTCTTATAAGACTTACAGTATGATTAAATTTTTTCAATTATAGGTTACCAAGCAGAAGGCAGCGTCCATCCATCTCCTCTATTCAAATTAGGATGTTTTCAATTTCAATAGCCTCGCGTATCATGCTTGGTAGAAATCGGTGTTATTTTGCGAGGATTTGTAGTCTATTAAATATAGATACGAATATAGTACCATTTTGAAAAGTCAAAATCCGTACTTACTAAATCCACTTACACCAACTGTTCCTTTATAAAAAATTACCGTAGTTGCCACAGTTGTGCACAGATTTTAATATTTAGTGTTGTTATCAGAAAGAACGCGTCTAACGGGTAATGGATTCTCTGGAGTCTCTCTCCATTCAGCCAACAATTCAAAATATTATACTGTAAGTAATATTTATATAATAAACATAACACTACATAACAGATCAGAGGACTCCGCCACTGCTAAAAAGCAACTTCTCTGGTTTAGGACTCCTTTTCTACCTTGGAGACTTACAGTTGACCAGCTTCTTACCTATTTCTGCCGACAAATAGCAGTGCCTGGACGGCTTTCTTCTGCTCTAAAGCGTATAGATACAGGCTGAGAATCATTCCATCTTAGTCCTCATAGGTGATATTGCCATCTTTGTTTAAAAAAGCAACCGTTCATGAACTGCATCAGCTTCTCACCAAGGGGTACTGTAAGTTCTTTTGTCACATCACTTTTGTAAAAAATGAAATGAAATCGGTGGATTTAAATTACTTACTAATAATTTAGTTATTATTTAGAAAAAAGAAACATCAGTAGGTATCATAAAATTATCTATCAGTTTAAAAAAACATACATTCAATCTTAATGACTTCATTTATTAACAAATAAAATAATTCACATATTTCACGTCATTGATAGTATGCACAATATGTTCTTAATAGTTTTCCAGTAATCATTTTACTAAAGAGGAAACTGTAATAAAAAGCAAACAAACATATTATGATTTTAAAAATAACACATACAAACACAATTTATCGTGTACCATTCTTAAGTCCCTTTTCATAAAAAGAAGAATTCGCTACGAAACTGTCGTAGACGACGGTATATGCATTTGAACATCAGATGACCTTTGCTCGATACATATCTCAAGGGTGTCTGACTATGACCTATGGTCGTAAAATGTCGCTATAACTAGAAATTATTCGGTTTCCAGAGATGTCTAGCTATGATCTATTGGACTACTTACTAATTACTATTTTAACACTCCGTTACACGCGCGGGGCACAGGCGTGCCCCAGCTGCATATTTTTGTCTGTAAATCACAAAACTTAACAGCCAGGATTTTGATTTTTTAAGTAGCTGTTGCATATATCTTCGCGTGAGCGTCAGTGACGCGTCGACTGTGCCGGCGCTCGGACGTGCTCTGTGTAAGTGTTTATGCATCTTTGGGGCACGCCTGTGCCCCACGCGTGTAATTACGTAACTAGTGGTACGCGGCTTATTTGGTATTTATTATGTTTTTTTTTATTATTTTCAAGATAATTATGTTAAAAATCTGTGTAAATTTGTTAAATTCATATTACTGTTTTTATTTTTCTTTATTGGTGGTATGATTTTCGTAATTAAATTGGACATTTTTCTTGTTTTAGGTATTTTATCTTGTAAAGTTTGTCTGATTGTCTGCTAAGATGGATGCACAGTCACAACGTGTAGCTAGATGGTTGGAAGAGACGGACGAAGAGGAGGAGAATGATTTGGAGGACCTGCCGAGTAGCGAAGATGAAGAAGATTGTTGTTTAGAAGAAAGACACGATTCTGAGTCGGAGCAAGAAAGCGATGTAGGGGAACAGATAATCCCAGATACTCCATCTGCATTGCAGCCGTTATCAGAGTCAAGCTCAGACGAGTATGTTCCATTGGCCAATTTAAGGATTTACAAATCTAAGTCAGGTCTTGAATGGCAGGCCACACCATACAGAACTAGCGTCCGATCCCAAGCGTCGAACATTCGTAGTCGTATTTGTGGCCCCAAAAATGACGCTTCAGCTTGCAAAACTCCAATCTCTTGTTTTGAATTATATTTTAATGAGGAGACAATAGATATTATTACAAGATGTACAAATATATATATCGACAAAATAAAAACAAAATACCAAAGACAAAGAGATGCCAAGAATACAGACTATACTGAAATCAGGGCAATGATTGGGATGTTACTCATGATGGGTGTAGAAAAAAGTGGTCGAAGAATACTGAAAGATTTTTGGGACAATAGGTTTGGAACTGCAGTGGAGGCTATTTATCTCACAATGTCTCAAAATCGATTTGCCTTTTTGCTAAAGTGCATTCGATTTGATGACATCCATACAAGAGATTCCAGAAAGGAAATTGATAAACTCGCTCCTATCAGACAAATTTTTGACATTTTTGTATCGAACCTACAAAAGTATTATACACCGAGTGAGTATCTCACTCTAGATGAGCAACTTGTGGCATTTAGAGGACGTTGTGGTTTCCGGATGTTTATTCCCAACAAACCAGACAAGTATGGTCTTAAACTTTTTGCCTTAGTAGATGTTACGTTTCCTTATGCATACAACTTAGAAATTTATGCCGGTGCTCAACCTCCTGGACCTTTTCAGGTCTCCAACAAAGTGAAAGACATTGTTCACAGAATGTTAAAGCCTCTCGAAGGTATGGGAAGCAATGTGACCATGGACAACTGGTTTACCAGTATACCGTTGTTGATGGAACTAGAAATGAAGAAGATTACTGCTATTGGGACACTGAAATCTAACAAACCTGACATTCCACTCAATTTCAAATCATCCAAAGGTAGACCCATCAACGACTCCTTATTTGGTTTCCAAAAGAAATGCACTTTAGTGTCTTACGTACCAAAACCAAAAAAAGTAGTTTTAGTGGCATCAACCATGCACAATGATGGTACGATTGATCTTTCTACCGCTGAGAAAAGAAAACCTGAAATAATTACTGAGTACAACAGGACAAAATGTGGTGTTGACGTTTTAGATAAAATGTGCAAGCATTTCAGTGTAGCACGAAATAGTAGACGTTGGCCCCTCACCCTATTTTTTGACATGGTAAATATCGCTGGCATCAATGGCATGATAATTGACACAATGGTCAATCACAATTACCAGCGCAAATCTCGACGCGACTACTTACGTTCGGTGGCTATAGAACTTATAAAGGCTCAAATGCGACAGAGACTTATGACTAAAAACTTACCTCGGACTATCAAGGAGAAGATCATGATGTTTTTAGAAGTAAAAGAGAGTAATTTAGTGCCTGAAGATGAAGTTATACCAAAAAAAGAGAACCAAAACAGCCAGATGTTACGACTGCGGAAGAGCCAAAGATAGATCGACCAGAACATTTTGCCAGAAGTGTCAGAAGCCTGTGTGCAATGACCATAAATATCCTGTATGCCTTGGTTGTTATAATAAATATGTAACCGAGCCCAAAGAATAGTCGGATTATGTCAAAAATCTTAATTATAAGTATAAGTGCCATTTTTCTTTAGTTTTATCAGTATGAAGCCAAATACTTTTTATTTTTTGTTTTAGTACAGAAGTGTCTATTTTTTTGTTGTTTTTTGATAAGTCAATAAAGGCTGATTATATATAAAAACTATAATATTTTATTTATATTCCTATGTTACTAAAAAAATCACAATATTTTGGGCCACAATTGTGCCCCGCGCGTGGAATCGTGTCACTATTTTAAGCGCGTGTACTGGAGTGTTAATGATAAAGACTGTCTCATTGGTCTGTAACCAGCAGTCGTGAAAACAGCTGCTGATTATGTGGTCCCGGTAATGAGTTTTTCTATCAAGAAGTTCTCAGCAGCAGTCCAAAGTCAGGAAGTTAGCGGTGTTTTATTCCCGTCATTGAGTTATATGTACTACGTACTAGAGAAGCTATTCCAAACAAAAAATCACTACTCTACTACTACTCTGTATCCGCACTACTCTGTATCCGCGCGGGAAACAGTAGAGCCGCGCATGCGCAGTTGATATAAACGCGCGAAAATTGTCATAATAAATAATTGTTTATTTTGATTGTATTGTTATTCGAGCACATTTTTTTTAAATTTTCGTTTATTTTGAATATGTGCTAATTTAATACAAAATTATTATTAGCGCCGCTCCGCACTGCATAAATATCGAAGCCACAATAACAGGTATACGGATAGCAGTACAGTTCAGTTGAACATAGTGAGTGTTCGGAATGCTAAATCTAGTGGATAGTACATATATATCGATGATCGCCATGCCTCAAAAAGCACGTTCAAAGTTACAGTGGTTTCTCTGCGGTGGAATCAGGTGCAGAACCTACAAATGTCCGATTGCCGTCCCGACGGATTTTGACAGTGAAAGAGTGGAGAGTGCACCTATGCTTGCTCATAAAACTGCCCACTATAACCCTATCCCGCGCAGACGGGTAGACTCCGTTGATAAGACCAAATTCAGCTTAGAGATTTTTTTAATGTGACATAATGCGCAAGATTTAAAATTCAAATTAATTTTAAACCTTCCGCTCAGAATTGGTAAGCTATGGAGACGATCACGCTGTTCTGTTATCTACTGATATGCAGTAAAAAGAAAAGAAAAAAAAGTTGCAGCATGTAGATTAGAAAAGATGAAAACCCTCTACTATATTTAAGTGTTTTACCTGATCTTTGAAAGGTTCTAAGCATTTAATCAGTAGTACAGCTCTTTCACAGCCTTCGTCGTCGCTAACCGACTGCTCGTTTACTGAAATAAAGTTACATATTATTTTTCAAAGTATTTAATACTAAGCATGCCTTTTAAGTTTTGTCGTTTGACCAAAAAATACAACTAGAACTTTATAGTACCTTTTATTGTTTTTCAAAGTATTCACCACGTAGTTTAATACACTTTTCCTTTCGCTCGAACTAGTTGTTAAAACATTTATTCCACTCCAAAGTGGGGATATTCAATATAGTTGTTTTAAAAGCGTCGACTGCTTCTTCATCGAACTGGAATCTTTGACCACGAAGAGTTTTCTTAATTTTAGGAAATGTTAAGAAATCTTTAAGGCAGGACAGTCAGGACTCAGTCAGGACTCTATGTAGGATTATCAAGAATTTCTACGTTTTCCTGCTTCAAATACCCAATCGCTTGACCAGCGTTGTGTGTACTTGCGTTGTTATCATGTAGGCAATCGAGCTCTTTCCGATCGGCTTGACTCATTGGCACTGCAAAGAGATGTTGCATCTCTATGCGTATTTTATCGCATTTACCACGAGGAGTGCTCTGAGGAATTGTTTGGACTAATTCCAGCCGCACAGTTTAACCATCGCACATCGCGACAAAAGTCGCAATAGCATCCATACCATCTGGATGACTAGCGGTCCACCACTAAGCGATTTAAAAGAAGTTTTCGTCCGCGCACAACTTCCTTGTGGAATCAACCACCACCAAAAATTTTTCCGGATCGATACGACCTTCAAGAAAAGAGCCTATTCCTTTTTAAATGGCTGGCAACGCATCTGTAATCCCCCTGTTCAGTGTTGCGGCTGTTCATGGGCGACAATATGGGCGTAATCACTTCCCATCAGGTGAGCCGTATGCTCGTTTGCCCCTCTCTATATATAAAAAAAGGATGGTGCCTCGTTTTAGATTAGATTTACGAAGTTCGGCGATGACTTATGGTAAACAAACAGAGGTATACCACCCTGCAACGATCTTCAAGTGCAATCGTCACAACATGGCCAGTTTTCGCAATGAACGTGGCCATTATTTTCTTTGAAGTGCTTCGAGACCGAACAACTTTAGTCGGCTCGGTGACTCGTCTTGGAAAACCGAGATTGTAGATTGTTGTTTAGAATCGGGATCGTAGGCATAGATCCAAGATTCGTCATCACTGATGATGTCAACGTGATTTGACTCTCTTCGCTTGAACCTTTGATGAGTTTTCTTCTACCATCTGACGCGGGTCACCTTATGGTCGTTAGAAAGCAAATGCGGGAGCCAACGACAAATTAGCTTTCTTACACCAAGCACTTCATGCAAGATTTTGTGAATGGTTGTACCGTAGATGCCTAATAAGCCTCTATTTCTCGACATGTCACATGACGATATTCAAGAATTAGTTTTCTAACAGCAACGATGTTATCATTAGTGGAGGCGAATTTTTTTGGGCGTCCTTCACGAGATTTGTCACCTAGGTTCGTATGTCAACTTTGGACTTCTTTGGACTTCTTTGGACTTACCAGCGTTCGGCAGTCCTCAGACATGGGGATTCATCATGGAACACGGAAGTTAGTGCTTCGAAACACTGAAGCCGTGTTAGACCTCTTCGAAAGTTGTAGAAAATTATTGCACGGATATTTTCCTTATTCATTTTCATACGTGACCTGACAAATTCGAAACGACTCTGTGACTAAACAATGGCATTAATCCTCATACTATCAATTGTTTTGAGAATCTGACACAAATTTGAATATTGAACAGTTTTAAATTCAAAATTGCCGTTAAATATGTAAACGACGGAACTTAAAAGGCATGCTAGAATATATATGCAGTCCTGTGCTAAGCTATTATACGCGGTCATTGTTGGCCAAGGCAATCTACACAATTGTTAGGCAGCGATATTTTATATCTTATTTTTTCATCAAACAAATTACAGAAACTCGTTAACTAACATGAATTGCGCAGCTTGCTAAAACTACATCGGCAGTGTGGATTATTTGCAATGTTCACGTTGCAATTTAAAATACCATAACGAATGCGTAAACATCGGTCTGTTATAGGTTGACTATGTCCTATGATGTGGTTTGGTCATGTGGAAAGAATTAATGAGGAAAGAGTGACAAAGAAAATTTATGTTGCAGAAGCGAATGGCAGAGTCGGAAAGGGACGTCCCTAGACGAAAATTTATAGACCAAATTGGCGATTTATTGAAAACGGGCCAAATTAGGAGTACCCTTAACCGACGACCATGTATGCGTAGGTGTTTGGATGTGAAGGAGGTGAGAGAGGTGTGTCAGGATCGTGCCAAATGGAAGTCTGTAGTCTCTGCCTACCCCTATGGGCGACAGGCGTGAGTGTTTATGTCTTATGTTATGTTATGTTATGTCCTATGACCTACCTCAAAAATACCAAAAGGGGACAACATTAATCTAAGACATCAAAATGAAATATTAATATTTCTTAAGAAAAAAAAGTATGACAACAGAAGTTGACAACTCGGATTATCTCAAGGATGAGTAAATCATCCAAGAGCAACCTAGGCCATAACTCAACCTTGGACAGAATTCAACGTCGATTTAAGTCTGTCCAAAAAAACGGTATAGATAATTTAGCAATAGCATTTTCTATTTTTAAAATAGTGAATACTTAACTCTTTTCTTCTAAAAAGTCAAAATTCTACTATTATTTTGTGTAATCCTATTATAAATTATGTAATTTCATTATTTAATATTATTTCATCACTATATTTGATATAAATTGTTTATGAATAGATAAAATTAGCTTGCCCACAATGTACGCCGCAGAAACCTATAATTAAAAAAAACATTTAGTTCTTAATCCTAAAATATAAATAGTGTAACATAACAAAAACAAATAATGTATGTCTTGTTGGTTATCCTTAATAAAATAAAGTAAAATAAAGTAACGCCGGATTAAGCAAAACCTTTTAAAACAGGCATGCCGATTGAGCCTAAAATACCCCTTTAAAAACTAATGTAGGATTTTAGTTCAAAAAACAATCAATGTGACTAATTTGAACTTAATTGTTAAATTTTATTTTAAATGAAAGAAGACTGACTTATTTTAAAGTACAGTTCATAAGACAAAACATACCTGAACTGCATATCTTAATTGCTTCTATAGCCTTATTTTGCGCTTCTTCATCCGCTAAAAACATCTTAATAACTTCTGTAGATTTTTCTGTATCGAATTCTCCTTTGTCGTTGATCTAAAATATGCAAAATGAGTGTCCTTATACCAAAAGCCGTATGATGCTGAGATATGACCTTTGTCCCGTGGATGTCGTAAGAAGCGACTCGGATGACGCTAGAAAGGCTTCTAATAATTTGTCATTACGTACATATTATATCCTCTACAACATAAATGACCCAGCAGTCATCGTACAGTGAAAAAAAAAACTTATATTTTACGTGTTCCATAATCGTCAAGTTCAGTAGGATGGTAAGCAATGGTAAAGACTGGTAAACTGTGTTGTGGACTGGTGGACTGCTAAAGACTGGTAAAGTCGATACCATTTACTTCTTTCATTTATTAACCCTTAATATTTCTAAAATAAAGAGTCGCAACGCAATGTCTGTGCCATGAAAAAATTGAATCACCAAAGCCAGGGTGATGTAGGAATACTGAAACAGGAAATGGGCTGCGGCATATTCCAGATAACAACTCAATAACAAGAAAACAAAAGGCCAGGCCTCCTGCATATCGGTCAATATAGTGGGGGGGGGGGGGGGTGGTTTTAACTGATGTAATGTGAATGTGTTAATAAAAAACTTTGCACATACCAAGATATCATACCATACTTATATACTTAATACTCTGGCATAATTTTTTTTTGTTTTTTTCGTGTATATTACTTGCGTCATTTGTTAGGGACTATTTTGTTCAAGAAACTTACCAATCCAATGTTTTTCGCCAAGCAAGTAAGCAGGGATCAAGAGAATCAATCATGTCGGATTCTTTTGCCTTTATAAATTCTTCCCTATTCACACCAAACTCTTTTTTGCATTCAATCGCCAAAAGACCTATCGTACTTTGTGACATCTCTTCTTTTGTGAAGGCCTAAACGAAAGTGTTTATTCATGAGTTTTCTTTATATTCACCACTGAGCGTGCGGTTAATAAGCACTTAAGAGTTCCCGTGATAGTTTAGTCCGTATAAATGTATTTTCTATTTTCTACCTAGGTAATGACACTAAAGCAAATTTTTTTACGATACAATCTATAAACCACGGAACCGACCCGATAGGCTTAGGAAACTCTATATTGGTTATCTTCCTATAAAAAATAAAATAAAAACGTAGACATACATAGTCACAATCTTTTTAAAATTGTTCTTATAAAAAGTTTGTATCGTACTAGTTTTAAAAGAGGAAACAAGGTAATACGAGACGGTTAATTCGTAATTTTTCATAGGTATAATCATCCCGAGCTGCTGTTATTTATTAAGGTTGTCTAACTAGGTTATTCAGGCATAACGCGACAGCAATATATCGTTAAAAATAAACACAATTAAACATATTCGTCAAATTCTTTGCAGCGCCAATATCCTCTTAAGAAAATGTAACTAAAATTCTATTAGAATTCATCATCATCATCACTACAGCCCATCACAAGTCCACTGCTGAACATAGGCCTCCCCCAAGGTATGCCACAAAGCATGGTCCTGAGCCACCTGTATCCATCGACTTCCTGCATGACTTACCAGGTCGTCTCTCCATCTAGTGGGGGGTCGCCCTACACTTCGCCTACCGGTACGAGGCCACTCGAGAACCTTTTTCCCCTAGGGTTGTCGGTTCTTCGAACTATATGGCCGCCCCATTGCCACTTCAGCTTACTAATCCGTTGAGCTATGTCGGTCACTCTGGTTCTACTGCGGATATCCTCATTTCTAAGTTTATCACGCAGAGAATACCCGAGCATAGCCCTCTCCATAGCCCGCTGAGCGACATTGAGCGTCGTCATACGGCCAGCAGTGAAGGACCACGTCTCAGTTCCATATGTCATCACTGGCAACATGCACTGGTTGTACAATCTAGTTTTCAGAGTTTGAGGTATACCTGACGAGAAGATGTGTCGTAATTTCCCGAACGTTGCCCAGCCGAATTGAATCAGTCGATTGACCTCTCGGTCGAAGATGGACTTACCTAGTCGGACTATTTGTCCCAGGTAAACGTACTTACTCATCAACAACTTCGAGCTTAGTGCTCCCAACGACTACCGGCATAGGTGTGACATGGACATTAAACATGATCTTTTTTGTGTTCATGTTCATCTAAAGACCTATCCGTTGGGAGGCACTATTGAGATCATTGATTAAGTCCTCCAGCGATTCTGCCATAAGGACTATATCGTCGGCAAATCGAAGTGAGCACTAAAAGCGGTTATTAGTTACAGAACCAGAGTACGTAACCTATCCAACTGTGGAGAGGTGTAAGTCAGGGTGATATTATACCCCAGAAACTATTCACCGCTGCATTGTGTAACGCTTCCCCCCTCTCATAATAATAAATATATTAGATTAAATATAATTAATTCCCCTTTATAATAAAAATTATATATATTTGACTAGGATATGGATAGGTTTTGATCTTTCTAAATGATCTTTCTAAAGGTTTAATAATAGGCCGTTTGTAATATTTTGGCGTGATCGTCTTAGTTAGGACCCTTATTTACGTTGTGTTTGTTTAGTAACTTAGTTCTTTTAGGTGTCTTTTGGAAGAATGAATTTCGCGAGATTGAGAGCTGTTGGTAGTGCCTTATAAGCTAAGTGAACCCCGTTCACGAAGACAGGGCTCGAGAAAGGTTAAGAACATAAAACGTCCCAATTCCACTTGTATCAGGTTTACATTATTATTTTAATATTATTTATCCCTTCCCGCTCGGAAAAGGCTCAAAATATATTTATATAAAATACCCGATACAAGGGCTTCGCTCTCCTATATTTATTAAAAAATGTAGGGGGAGGCACACGGCCCCACACACGCCGTGCACGATGAGCGCCAACCATTTTGATACACTCCCCCCGAAGGGAACTGGACCGCAGTCCACAGCAAAATAACTGGCGAACCAGTAAAAGAGGCTTGACCCCTTGTTAGTGCGTAAGCACAAACATCGACCGAAGTCGTGCATGTCAATGCGTGTAAACGCAATACAGAATACGAACGAATCCAGCCACAGTGAATGTACGTCACACGGTTTAGGCAAATAAGCACACTGGCCGTAAACCCTCCGTGAGCGCCACTACCTGCCAGACCGCCGCTCCTGCAGACGTGATGTAAGTGTATGGCATCACCACCAACTGCATGATCAGCACGGCTACTAGCCGCAGAGCGTGTCATGAGCTACCCTCACCTCAAGGGAATGGGGTCTCACGTTGTGCGGCTTTCGGCCGCAGCCTTAAGAGTCTCCTCAGATCCTCCCGCCAGCTACCACCCGCATGAGGTCGACATATATGCTCCACCAACCAATACAACGGCAGATATAGCCAAAAGGCAGTCACTCGCCCACCAACAAGTTGCCTTCAATCATTCGAAGGTGGGAAAGTTACAGAGATATATTATTATGTTGTTATATAAAACATCATGGAGGGCAGACAGTCTGCAGCCCCGTAATGAAGGGACCCGACTTGGGCAAAGCTACTTAGGTGTGAGTCGAACCAAGACGCAGAGAGCGCCATCGAGAATAGCGTCCCACCAAACAACCATCGCAGAGACGCAATGCTGCAGAACGCAACAAGCATCAATACGACTATCGTCGGCCTACACCATCCCAAGGTCCCCCATACAACCCAGCAGACATCACCACCAGCATACCTCCATCGACCAGAACCATAAGAGTGCGTCGAATCAGGCGCAGCATACCCGCAGATCCATCACAAGACGCAATATCGCAAGTAGCAGTAAGCATCAATGCAACTATCATACGGATGGCACCCCTTCACAACACACCCACATGACCCCTATCGATTTTGGTAACAAAGTTTTTATTGTTGTTATATAAAAAAATATCACCAACGTATCATAGTAACACGCTACTAAGACGCCAATGAACAAAACTCCACGTAACATAGCGCTGATGCACTAAGACATGAAGTTGAGTATGCCTGTTACACTTAAAAGTGCTACCAAACACACTCATCATCCCAATCCGAAATATAGACGACGCATCGCTATGCGCTACGACGTCGCCCACAAACGGTATGGGTGTGCGATGTCCACGGGAAAGCCGTATTGCTACAACAAACCCGCTTACCACCGGCACTAAGATGTTAATTGTACACCTCCATTGACCAGAACCACAGGAATGCGTCGAATCAGGCGCAGCACACCCGCATATCCATCACAAGACGCAATACCGCAAGTAGCAGTAAGCATCAATGCAACTATCATACGGGTGGCGCCCCCTCACAACACACCCACATGATCCATATCGATTTTGGTAACAAAGTTTTTATTGTTGTTATAAAAAAATATCACCAACGTATCATAGTAGCACGCTACTAAGACGCCAATGAACAAAACTCCACGTGTCATAGCGCTAATGCACTAAGACATGAAGTTGAGTATGCCTGTTACACTTAAAAGTGCTACCAAACACACTCATCATCCCAATCCGAAAGATAGACGGCGCATCGCTCGCTACTACGCCGCCCACAAACGGTATGGGTGTGCGATGTCCACGGAAAAGCCGTATTGCTACAACAAACCCGCTTACCACCGGCACTAAGATTGTTGTTATATAAAACTGCACCAACGTATCATAGTAGCACGCTACTAAGACGCCAATGAACAAAACTCCACGTATCATAGCGCTAATGCACTAAGACATGAAGTTGAGTATGCCTGTTACACTTAAAAGTGCTACCAAACACACTCATCATCCCAATCCGAAAGATAGACGACGCATCGCTATGCGCTACGACGTCGCCCACAAACGATATGGGTGTGCGATGACCACGGGAAAGCCGTATTGCTACAACAAACCCGCTTACCACCGGCACTAAGATGATATGTCTAGGACACATAGGTTAGCGAGTCCAAGTTTACCTCGGACCAATTACTCGTGAAGCAGCACACACGCCACCATAATATTCCTTTTCAAGTCCCTAATAAGGACTAGTCATTTTGCTACAGTACTAGGAGCAGTCGGTCACCCGACCACTCCATACAATGCTTATGCATCAAGGAGACCTCCTATAATATTGCTTTTGTATCATAGACCTTACTTTCATAAGTCATGCATATATATGATTCGAACCCACGACCCTACTATTGTAATGCAAATTCATCATGGAGACCTTCTATAGTATTGCTTTTGTATCATAGACCTTACTTTCATAAGTCATTAATATATAGGGTTGGAACCCACACCCACTATTGTAATGCATATTAATCATAGAGACCTTCTATAGTATTGCTTTTGTATCATAGACCTTACTTTCATAAGTCATTAATATATAGGGTTCGAACCCACGACCCTACTATTGTAATGCATATTAATCATAGAGACCTTCTATAGTATTGCTTTTGTATCATAGACCTTACTTTCATAAGTCATTAATATATAGTGTTCGAACCCACGACCCTACTATTGTAATGCATATTAATCATAGAGACCTTCTATAGTATTGCTTTTGTATCATAGACCTTACCTTCATAAGTCATTAATATATAGAGTTCGAACCCACGACCCCACTATTGTAATGCAAATTCATCATGGAGACCTTCTTAGTATGCTTTTATCTGATAATATCAAATCCCTAATATAGCTATCATTGTGCTACAGTACTTCAGCAGTGCTCCCACCACCCCATATATATGTATAACTGCAGGTATGTATCTCCGACAGCTCCTCCATACAAGACATCTATACATGAACACCTTCCATAACTTAAAAAAATTTTCTTTTATACATGAACTCCTTCCAAGACTTAGACAATTTTTAACAAATTTTCTAATTATCTTATAAATGTTATCTATCTTAATTTTTATAATATTTTCGACTTGTATTTCTATTATTTATCTTATTTTAAATATTTTTTCAAGTTTTTAATAAATTTATTTATTATGGAAGACAATATTTTGCCTTAATGTTACTATGTTATTGGTCTAATGTCTGAAATGTATTTGTATAAGCATAAAGTAAAGTTACAGCCTATATACGTCCCACTGCTGGGCTCAGGCCTTCCCTCGTTTCTGAGAGGGTTTAGGGCAAGGTGCCTCAATATTTGTTTGTACAGATCGGCTTACAAAAATATTGGATTATCGCTATTATGAAAAATAACCAACTAACGTAACATTGCAACATCATCATAAAGATTTATAATTTGTTAGTATTAAGTATAAAAATCATTCCTATAGTTACTGCACTTACCCTAACACTACTTAAGCTAGCAGCAATAAGTCCAATGAAAAGGAACACGTTAAATAACGACGACATTTTTATATTTATGAGTATATAATATACTGTTTTAAAGATAACGCAACCTATTTCTTGGTTGCTTTGCACTTGTCTGATCTGTATTTGGAAATCACACATTTTATATTGGAAGCTCGACTAAGTATTTTTTTCTCTATAGGCTTATTATCTCATTCGACACGTACAATGTTGTATCCTACATAATTTATAAAAACCATGCACAATGTAGAGATAGTGTTCCGTAGTTACCTGTCACAATACGTGAGCTTAGAAAGGATCTTCTTGATACTATGAGCATATTAAGTGTGTACGAGTTTTGACCACTATAACAAATAAAAGGAACCCAAATAGGACGATGGTAACTAAAGAAATTATTTTTCAAGCAGACTATCTATAGAATAAGGGCAACAAAAAAAAACACAGTCTCCCTGATGATAAGTGAATGCTGTAGCAAATAGCCATCTACATCTATTCTCGATAGTGAATCAAGATTTGACAGAATACCAGCGTGAAATAGCAGCTTAACGCTGCTGTGTTTCGTATGGTGAGTGTAGAAAACCGGAGACTTTTTTTACTGGAAACGAGGTATTCCATCTTAGTCCTCACGGGTGCCAATGCATCTGCATTTTGATTAGTAATCGAGGATAGGTGTCGATGTCTGTGGGTCACAGTAACCACTTACCATCAGGTGGACTGTGTGCACGTTTATCACACTTATCGTATAAAAGAAAATATTTCATTCATTTCCAATAAAAAGGGTCTCCAGTTCTCTACACTCACTATATGAAACACAGCAGCATTAAGCTGCTATTTTACACCGGTATTTTGTGAGAGCGTGGTCCTTCTCCGGTCGAGCGAATCTATTGGTGCTACAACCTTAATTTACCTGGAGCAAGGCACGTATGTCTAAGACTTATAAGGAGTGGTATTCAAAAAAGATTAAAAAAAAACTGTTTCGATTTTGAATATAATACAATCTACATCAAATCATTCACATGTCAAGTCCGTACAAAAATGGTTATAGTTCCTGGGTAACCTTCCCGTAAACCACCACTACCCTGAACTATTCCAAGGGTCGCCTGCGTAAACCAAGAATACCACCAATGAAACTGAAGGCCTATAATAACTACTAACAAAAATAAAGGAAAGTGGTTTTTTCATGTCAGGGTCGGTCTCTTGGCAATCAATCCTCTCTTCCTACTCGCAAAGGAAAACATAAGGCATATTGGTAATGTATAAGTCGTTTACATGCAGTATCAAAGTTATAACGCAGCTAGTTTAATGTCATTTTTTATTGAATTGTAACGAAATTTTTGTTAATGCAAGTGTATTTTATAAGTTGGTCGATTTTTACCCGTTAACTTCTTAAGCTTACTTAGCTGTGATAGTTTTTTTTTAACTTTATTATATATAACACTTCTCTGCATATTTTTCACATTTTCAAAAATAGTGGTTTAGTTCGATTGGTGGGGGGGGGGGGGGGATACATGTATACTCAGAATAAAAATATTACTTAAGAGTTAATTACTTCGCAAGTATCACCTGTATGGGACGTACCCAAAATAACAATGTTTTTCAAGATTTTATTTCACAACTTTGTAGGCATGCATAATATACTATACAATAATATAATAATGCCAAATTATAGCTTTGTAGCACCTAGTATCTCAGAGTAAAACCGCGGATGGATGGACATGGCGTCATTATAAGGGTTCCTTGTTGTTTAACTACGGAACTCTAAAAACACGTAATAACTTAATTTGCAGTATGCATTTTATTTTCCGATAGGTAATGCAAATGCATTAGTTTAAGTACAGGTATATTAATTTCAGCTCTAAATATAACGAATCCTCAATTAATTAATCTTTTGATTTCTTATATTTACGCGAACAGTGCACATTGATTAAAACTACTTTTATGGATTTTATCGCGTTTAATTTTACTTTTAATTATTTTTATTTTATTTAATTAATCTTTTTTTATTTATCCTATTGCCTATCTAGTGGCGGTGTTAGAGTATACACTACCCCATATCGTTCCGTGGTATTTATATACAACATGTAACATAATTAACGTACTTTGAGAAAGTAGTTTGTTCAGAATCGTTTACTGAATTGATTCCCATTGTGGCCGTGGAAGGAAAAGGGGAGATCTCCCGCCGGGCAAGGTGTTATGCCCGGGGAGCGGCCAAGGCTCCGTGTGGTAGTTCGGAGATGTTCTATATATGCTGTTTGTGATTCGGAATGTTGATAGCGTGATTTAGGCTTCGGTATGTTTCGCTTGCGGCGCGACGACAGCGCCGCCACATCACCCCCTGCGGTGCGTCCTTAATGCCGGTGGGGAATGCATGCTGAGTGCGTAAGGGCAAGTGACACCGGTGCGAATGATATGCCGATGTGTAATGCATGCCGTACTACGCACTGGCAAGTGATGCCGGTGAGAACGCTGTGCTGGAGAAAGTGCCCGAAGTCTGCCTTATAAATCTGCGGTGAGTCGAGACGAAGACAAGTTGGACTGGCTTGAAGGAACTGAAGACTGCAGAAGACGATTCTCAGTAGTGACTGGTAGGGGTTCTTCAGGATATTGACGAAGGCTTGAAGTTGTAGTTTCCGAAGGTTGTTTTTTGCGTGTTCAGATCACGTCGGGTTCACTACTGTGGCCGTGGTAGGGAAAGGGGAGATCTCCCGCCGGTCAAGGTGTTATGTCCGGGGAGCGGCCAACGCTCCGTGTGATAGTTCGGAGATGTTCTATATATGCTGTTTGTGATTCAGAATGTTGATAGCGTGATTTAGGCTTCGGTATGTTTCGCTTGCGGCGCGACGACAGCGCCGCCACACCATCATTTTTAATACAGGAAATTTTTATTCCCAAAAATAATTAAAACTACGTAAATTACAGTCACACTAAATCTGTACAGTACAAAACAAACTGAAATGGACCGTAACTTAAGGCAATAAGACTTTTAAGAGTGCAGTTTTATTTGTATTATTACTAATTCTGTCATTCAATAAAAATAAAGAAAAATGAACTTTATTTCAAGCACATTAAAGTCTTTGCGTTCGTGGATTTGTACTGTGACCACAACATTCTTCCGGAATTAGTATAACTAATTTGATAAATAATCAGTGCATAAAAACGTTTAACTAAAATTCAGTGTATGTATCATGATTATAACATAATATGTGTAATGGGTGTCTGAGGGTGTGCATTAATTACGTTACATATTGTGTATATATATATATATATATGTATAAAAAAAATATATATCCCATATCAGGCGACAGACGGCAAGAAAAACATGAGGCTGGGCAGCAGCGTTACTAATAATAAAAAACTGCGATTGCTAAGCCGCTTGCGAAGCGTGGCGACTATGGCAAATATGTAGCGATATAAGCCATGCTTACTAATTTGGCACATATGAGATATCGGAGCCATCAGGTTTTTAGGTTTTATCCATAGTTGACATTTACGACATCCGCGAGGCGAAATAAAGTCATGGATTATACGCTGCCATCACGCTGCCACATGATCAAGTAATTATTTATATGTCAGTTGTAAAAAAAAACGGACGGGCAAGAAAAAAAAACAGTCGGCAGCGTCAAAGGTGTGAAAGAGCGGAGTACGTTGGCGTACCACAGCTGATAGAGTGAACAATAAACCACATGGGAACAATGGCAATTGCGGTAATCCTTTCTTACAATATTCATCCCATATGTCTCAATATATCTTTAAAACGAGTAAGTAATTGACTACAGCCGCCCATGAATATCAGAGGAAGGTAACTTCTGGAAAATTGTACAGTGGTGTGACGCCAAGCAACCTGATGTAGTCGATAGTAAAGAGAATTTTATAAGTTGAGAATGTCTTTTAATATTATATCTCATATTATATTATTTTGTAACTTTAATACACGTATTTCTAATTAACTTTGTGTCTACGTGTAATAAATATAAATTTTCTACCACAAAGTACAGGCCTCATAGAACTAGCAGCTCACTTTTAGGTAGATGTGTAACCATTTATAACAAGATTTCAAGTAATATTACCGATTTGCATTTGTATAAATTCGAGGCATGAATCATAGGGAGGAATTCGGAAAAAGCACTTTGTTTAAAACCGGATCTAATCATCTAATGTAATCAAGAAGGTGATACCTATTTACTCAGACGGGTTCCATTTGTACCTAGCAATCCGTCTCACTAAGTTTTTTTACCTTTTTTTTTCTTTTTTTATAAGACATTATCTCCACACTAGGATTTTCTCCTGTATCGTAGGGGCAGTTTACAAACATAAATTTCACAAGGACAAACATCCAGACTCTTAACAATCACTTGTAGGCCACTAAAATACTTGTTCCGTGCGGGATTCGAAACCGCGGCCCTTAGCGCTATATCTCATTGCTAACGGATTGCGCTACGGAGTCGTCAAACCAAAACCAAACAGCAGTGCTCGTAATGCCGTGTTGCGTCCTTCGTCTAAAGTGTATAAAGGACCAGTATAATTACAGGTTGTAAGGCATTCCATTTTAGCGTTCAGAGGGACAACGACTTCGCAGTATTTTATTACACATAAACGTTGGCTGCTGTTGAATATGGACTATAGTAGCCTCTTACCTCCAGGTGTACAGTAAATTCGTGTGTTACTTGTTTTTTTTAGCATTAGCGACCTATTATAATTCTATTTGCTATAGAGAAATTATTCGGGTAATTGAAAAAATATTGTTTTTCACTAAGAGCATAAATCAACTCTTATTAGAACGATGTTTTCCCAGAAAGATCGACGATGTTAAACCATGAATGAATAAATTAATATACTTTTATCGTACACCACAAAACAAGAGATAAATAAAACATTAGAGAAGCAAGTTTACTTCTCAAACAATGAATGAATAAATGAATATACTTTTATCGTACATCACAAAACAAGATATAAATAAAACATTAGAGAAGCAAGTTTACTTTTTAAACCATGAATGAATAAATGAATATACTTTAATCGTACACCACAAAACAAGAGATAAA